ATCAAAGAAAATACCTTCGAAATGGTTATATGCATGTAAAAAGGTAAAGTAAAAAAAGTAAATTACCTTGTATGGATCAAGGAGAAAGTTGCTGAATTTGCTGGGAATGTTGAACTTTTTCACCAGTTCGTCCTCAACCACCCAGGGAGCACTATCATTCATGCCCAGCCTCAGAGCATAGTGCCGAATGAAATAACGTATGATCTCCTTGGTTGGAGGACGTTCTGTTCTAAAAAGACTGTCTGCAGGAACGTCACTGATCACCTGCAGCACGATTTAGTTCAAAGAATTCAATTTACAATATGACTTCATCTGTGGATTATAAACTTAGAATATATGCGATGTTTTAACCGCTGAAATTAAACAAATATAATACAAACCTTATCCTCACTGATGAGCTTAACATCATATTTATGTGGAAGGAATTTGGGAATCGCCCACTTCTTCTTCTCCTCCTTCATTGCAGTGGGAAGTTTCCTTGGAGACCGTCGTGCTCTGTCACCTGACAGAAAATGTAACGTGGTAAAAACATCTTCATTATGTATGACCTGCAACATAGGAGCAGGATCACACTGCACAGAGGCCAACACGATCATTCTGTAAAATCCAAAAATATAATTACTGAGGCTCTCTCTCCTTTTCTCCTCTTCACATAGCGAATGGTCCTTGCGCTGGTTCTCCTGGGTGGCATTTTCCTTGTCACTTGAAGGGGAGTCGCATGCACCTTCCAGTTTCTTCTCCCCGCCCTCGCCCTCGGGTTTTTCTAATGGGTGAATCGTCACTACCTTTACCCGTAATGTTTTGTCCTTACCAACCTGCAGAACAAAAATAAGATTTTCTTAAGCCAAATATCCATTCAAAATATACCCTTGAATATGACAAGCAAATAATATGAAGTCCAAAACAGTTCTTTGAGCGTTCAAAAGGTTACATTACAGCCATATTTAACACACAGGAAGTCAAGGAGTACAGGAGTGTCATGCTGACCAGAAAGTCACACTCTTCTCCAACAGCATATTTGGTGAGGATTTCCACCCAGGCCATTTCCACCAGTTTGTCCAAAGACACTGTGTTGTGATGAACCATCTCCATGATTGGCTTCTCAAACCATTGTGGATACTCTTCCTGAAGCCTAAACAGAAAATGAACAACAAGTTAAAGAACAAAATTATTAATGCTCAACACAATTAAAAAACACATTAACTTATTTTCCTGTTGCATCATATTCACCCTTTAGATTTAGGACCTCAGGTCATTGCAGTACAATATTACACAACAGGAGGCCGGATATTGACCGGGGAGAGTAAAGTATGATATAATTAGACAGACCTAAATCCCAGGGGCTATTCAAGCTGGCATGCTCTTGCTTTACAGTAACATCTTTATGGTTCACATATGAAGTGTAGGCCATTTGTCTCTTTACTTGTACAGAAATTCCATTCAACCCCACATATTTTTATACAATATATACACACACACCAATATTTGTCTCTTTACTTGTACAGAAATTCAATTCAACCCCATATATTTTTTATACAATATATACCCACACACCAATAGGCAGTTTCCATGTTTTATCTACCACACTAGTATATAGGCCTTCTCACAACACACAGTAGGCAGGGCTGTAATCTTCCTGTAAACTGGTCATTTATCAGTTGATGCATTCTGGCTTAAATTCTGATTGGTCAATTTATGATACTTCCCCCTCTTATGATATTAAGGTCAGTAGGAGAGTATCAAGTGCTAGTGGTGGAGTTGTCAAAGCACCCCAGTTTTACAGGTAACAGTTTTCAGAACACCCCCTTTGTTTTCTCTAATTTTACATAGCCCAACCCACAGACAGACAAAGTGACAAATGTATTAAAAAGCCTAGGTTCAGTGGTTTGCAGAATATTCATTTAACAGCTTTTTATAGTCAGTCTCTTCTACCATGTAATAGACATTGACAGTATTTCGCAAAAATAGATAACAGAAAAAAAGTTCAGTGAAAAGTTTGCATGCAAAGGTTTGCACACAACAGCTCAGTCAAAGTTTCACCAGTTGAGTCTACCGAAACTTTCTTGAGTTCATTAGAGCCCTAATAGTAGGATCAGAAATGACATGTATCATATAAATGTAAATAGCACAAGGAGCAATAGATTAATTTAAATTAAAAGGCATTTTCATACACTCAACGTCTAGAGCTTTACTGAATGTCCATATCAGATTTTGTTTCGTGTGCACAGGCACCCGACCTAAATCAAACAAACTAGATGATTTCCCAACACAAGTGGGTGAAACACTTACAATTCAGTGACTTCTTGTTCTTCCTCCCATGCTTCCTTGTGTGTCAGCTGGCTGCTTCCTGTACTCTTGCATGTCCAGATTCGTTCACTATACTTCAGCAAACGCGCCTCATACTCTCTGTAGTTATCTTGTTAAGGTCAATTATGATGATCACCATTAATCACGAGTCATGTTAACAGTTGCACAGGGGGTTGAGACAAACACATGACATACACAAACATGATTTGGCCTCAGAAGACATCAGGCCTCATGAAGTTAAACACTGCTACCTGCAGATGCAGTGTAATGCTAATGTAAATGTTAATTAGCAGAAACATCTGAAATTAAATTCCATAGTGCAAGAATTGTCAATTGCAGCATATGAGACACTAATACTTAAAAGCACGAGTATTAGCATTTAAATCGTTAGGCAAAAGTATATAAAATTAAGTACGCCGCAAATAAACATTTGACGATCAATGTATCGTCATGCGTTGGCTACCACCTGACCTCTTGCTAAAGATGACTATCAGCATCAACAACCATACAACCGACCTTTAACTTTTCAGCGTATGCTACTGGTTTGATTATTATATAATTTTGTAACAACGTTGTGAGTGACATTTCTTACTTGCTTTGATAATTGTCTTGGTTTACAAGTTGTAAGCTTCCATGTAAATGTTCATTAACTGGTGTGCGTCTACTCAGTTTTATTTGACCCAGAATAGCTTAACGCCAAGATATTTTGAATCAGTGCCCGACTTCACTCTGACAAAGGCGGAACACAACACCACCGAAGCACCGGCTGCTAACGCAATAAACGGTTAGCCGTTTCAACGTAAAGAGGGAGTGAGCGATTGCTTCTAATATAATTACCAGATGACAGTAAGGGGGTAATGGCTAAAAGTGAAAGCAAAGGAATTAAACTCCTTTTTTATAAATGACTAATTAGTAAGTGTAAACCAAATGATATGTTATTTATGTACCTCTCCTGTAATGACACCACCAAGGATGTGCTAGCGTTAGCTGCCACGGAGGGTACACGCGGAGAAATAAGTGTTCTACAAATTCAGGGAAGGTGTCGATTCATATAAATGAGTGTTGATAGTCAGTGTTACAGACAGCAGTGGGTAATTGTGTGGCTATCGATTCATGTCACACACTGTACATGCCGACCGAATGTATCCATGTAATAACAGCGCACCAGCAGCATATTTAAGGATACTCTTTGTTCCTGAAGGCCTCCTTGCTGTGCTCGATGATGTATACCTCCTCTCCCGGGCCTGGTGGCTCAGCTAGAGGTTTAGCTAGCGGATACGGTTTCCTGCCCAACAGTGGTGCCATTTCGAATGTCCGGGTGGCACTGATACCGACGTTAAAACTGACTTCCCAGCCAAAAACAAATCCAGACAGTTATATTAAATTGTGTTTTTCGCATACATACAAGTGTCCCAAATCTCTTGTAAGCACAGGTCGGGTTGGCGCCGGCAGGCCCGGCTCCCAACGTGTAGCAGTTAGCTGGCAAGCTAACAGACCGGACCGCTTTCTCGTTGCAAAACAATAACAGTCCGCTTCTTGCCAATAAGCCTCATTGCATCCTTCAATTCTCTTCCAACAGAGGTGTCATTACAGTGGCTCACAGTTTACCTTAAAAGAAAACAGGAAGCTACAGAATTACTGGAAATAGTAATTTGTAAAGTTCCGGACTGACATTAACGGGTACAATGCCGCGCTGGAGTTAAACTCGCGGCAAAAGCCGAAGCCGGACTCGGCGGCAGATGTGGCGCACTGTGTCCTCAGCCTTTAAGTATGTATAAAACAGCCCTACTGTGGTCTCCTATCTTCGTAACCTCTTGCCTTGGTGGAAAATCAAAGTAAAACAGCGTAAATTAAAAATATTCCCGGTAATTCAAGCGCTTTATTCCTGGATGAAATGGCGGGAGTTTCTACCTCACCGGCACGATTCCCTACTCGGTCACAAGTCCGTTTCCCCGGCAGCAAGCCGCGTCTCACCCAAGCACCTCCCTCTGTGCGCAGCGATTGGCCTGTGTAGTTCAGCGCACTTGATTATCTGCTCTAAATTTGCCTCTGATAGGCTTATACGACATGTCCTTCTGTGGGGCTAAGGCGGGCTTTGTTGTATTTACCCTGCTCACTAAGAGGAACTGGAGGTCAGCTGATGAAGTTTAAAACTCTCACCATCATATTGAGATATATATATATATATGTATATATATATATATATATATATAAACCTTAGAAGTTGCTCCTTTATCCCTGACATAGGTAGATAGTGACCTATCAATGAAGCCACATTGGAACTGCCATGGACATCAGATGAGGCGGAAGGTTGTGCTCCAGCGAGACAGTTTGTGACGCCCTATAAGTAATGTATACCGTTAGATCTTAACTCTCAAAACATTTCCCCAAATAACAAGCTTTATTAAGATATGTCGAACATAATTATCACAGCAGCTGTGTGTCACAATAGCTGGTCATGATGATAAATATAGCACTGGTTGGGGTGTCCATCTAAAGGAAGGCAGTGCTACCTCTTAAGGCATTGTATACTGACATGTATAAGCAATTAAAACATTTTTAGGTATTGTTGAAAGATGTATTTCTAAGTGATGGCTATTTTGCATAGTTAAAAAAAAAACAATTATCAGTTGTAATCAATCCCTTTTTAGGTTTTAAAAATGTGAGAGGCCACAAGTTAACCATCCATGAACTAAATGAAAAGTAGCTTTTATTATGACTTACAAAATACCTTAATTTATAAACATGGGCAAATTAAAATAAATATATTTTTAAAGACTTAAGCCTTGCACAATAAGCCAAAATCCAATCTTTCAGAGAGGACATTAATTTAAACACTACACACACACTGACATATCTAAGCATGGGTCTATATTAACCTTAGCACGTAAAGATTTTTTTTTAAATAAAATGCCATGTAGGTCTCAAAAACCAATAGCACATTGGAACATGCAGAAGTAATGATTAGCTGCAGCAACAGTAATACATCAGTTTGTTTAAAAATCAACACATTGCCTGTTGTAATCAGCAAAACAATGATTGGTAGTAATTTCTTTCAGATAATCTATTGAAAACAAACAGAATTTTCAAAACCATTAAAATGACTCAAAGGACTCTACAGAAATTGTACAAAGAAATAAAATAAGCAACATTTGCATAAACAGTTAAAGAAGAACCTTTGACTGGCTTAAAAGCATAAAAGCTAGAATGCAATCAACCAATGGCAGGTATGAAAGGTACATGCACAAAGATATTTTGTGCATACATATTGAAAAATAAAAGACTAATAAATTAGCTATCTCAAAACAGAATTCTCCCCTGTGCAAATCTTCTTCAAAGGAGGGGCCCCTGATTCATCCAGCTCTTCCTGTTGAGAGACAACAAATTACTCAGATATTCAAACATTAGAAGCTTTCTGCAGTTAAATCACCTACGTGAACAATAGGATATGATGTTATTTTTCCTAAAAGACTAAAATGTTAACCTGTGAGTCAAGGTTGCTTCTTCTGACAGATCCTGATGAAAGTAGGTCCTCCTTAATGAGAGTAGGTGGCTCATCAGCTCCATCCTGTCCTGTATGAATAGGCTCTAAATTTCCCAAACAAAAAACAAAAAGAGATGGGACAGTTGTATTCCATTAATGCAGCAAAACCAATTAATTCTTTTTATGCAGGTCATTACTGCTAAAAATGTTTACCATCTACAATCTCTTGGCCCAACATGGGCGGTTGTGAGTCTTCAGCTCGCAGAATGGAGGTGTGTGGAGGGCTGACCTGCTGTGAGCTTGAGTTGCTGCTGCTGTTATCCATCTTAGGCTGATAGACATCTGACAAAAAGCTCTGATTGCTGTTTTCATCTAAAGAGGGGAACACAGGAATTATAAATTATGTTTTTCTGTACATATGTGACTTAAAATTATTTGATGGTGTTGAAATACTAGCTAAGGCTTGATTGGATTGGGACTATCATTCAAATATATGTAGTCACAAAACTCACCAGTGAAATCCAGCAAAGAATTTGCGTTTTCCAAAACCACATCTTTTAGTCCCCTAACATCTCCACCTGTAGATTTGGTTCGATATATCTGAGAGGAGACGATCAAAACCCATGACAAGAACCACGAAGGACGTTTGTTTTTTCATTTATTGTTAAATATTTTTCATTAATGCATATCATCACCTGCTTTGTTTCTGTTACTGGCACCCACTTGAATATGCGCAGAGACGTGTCTCCGACTGTCACCCATTTCTTCTCCCTGTAAAAATAACGAGTTTAACTCAGAGGGGCTCAGTTTAGTCTTAACACCGCTTTAATGGCATTAACGTGTTACATGACAGACCAGGCTCATGTGCTCCGTGTTCACGGTCTTATCATTCCCGTTACTCACACTCAAAGCTCCCACCCAGGTATCTAAAAATCACCATATTTCCACGGTCCACTGCTCACAGAGCGTAGATAGCATGTGAAGCTGTAGCCATATTGACAGCTCTCGGCGGAACAAAAAGAAACTCGTCAAGGCCCGCCTCCTCACTAAAGCGCCGACTTTGATTGGCCAACTGCTGCGTCCGTCATTAACTTTTCCGACTGAAGTTTGTTGAGCGACGCAGCGGATAATAGCCCACCGTGTACTAACACATTTCCCTCCATATTGCCCACACAAACAAACCTACCATTTGCGCACTTTCTCGATTGCAGCTAGGACCTTTTTGATGTCGTCTTTAGCCCGGCTTCGGGTTTCAGCACGGCCCGATCGTCCTGACATTTTGATGCTGTTATGATTCATGTACAGACGACTGTCTGTGAAAACTTCAAGACCAAGCCCCAGTGCTTCGTATCAATGTCAATCTCGCGAGACTTCTTAATCTTCTTTTCCCACCCTCTAGTGTCTTCACATTGTACAGTATGGGGGTGGACACAGTTGGAACTGTTCATTTGTTTTATGTATTTCTTCTAATTAAAACCAAAGATAGTTGTTGTTGGTGAAAGGGGAAAGTTATACTATGATTTAAATGTAAGTTCTTTTGAGGTCTCGACACATTACACATTTTCCTGTAATAAGCTGTCACCCTTATTAACATTTTAATCCTTTGATCTTTTAATGAGAACATAACAAAGCAAATTCGTTCCTTTACACATGTACACATCCCTTCTAATCATCACATCATCATACAATCACACATTATATGTATTTACACAGCCAATTTGTATGCTTTTGTTTGTCTTTGCATAATTCAAATCCAACACACAATTTCCATGTAAATAACCTATACCAAACATGCACCTATTGATTCACAAAATTATGTCCGCTAAGACATCTTTGCATTTGATATTTAGGTTTAGATAACCATACGCTCAGAGAACAAGAGACCAATGAGTGTATATCTTCCTTTTTACATGACATGACCCAAAGTAAGTTTTTCAAATGCAACTGTGGACTGTAGCAACAATAATTCTCCTTAAGCATTCAGCAACTGTGGACTGTAGCAACAATAATTTCCTTAAGCATTCCTGAGCTCAGGTCTTCAGCACAGAGAGGCGACAGGATAAAATGTCCTTGGAATGATGCACTCTATATCCAGTGTAAATACATCAACTTGTCAATTAATTATTCCGATAACCGAGGAGCTAAATATGCATCTTACGATGACGATGCATTTATCTCAAATGTACATAATGATCAAAGGGATACCTTTTTGTGAACAGCAGAGGACGGCCTTGAGTCATGCAGATTATGGTCTGGGCATTCTTTATCTTGTGCAGAAATAATGGTTCAAAACAGTTTGCTTATGAAATCATCACTTGTGTGCTTATTTATTAATGTAATAGTACGTGTAATAAAACAGTACATACAAACATACAGATCATTTGTTGAATTGTTATAGACATATTTGGTGAATATTTATTTTGCGGATGTGGTAGTTCTTTTAAAAATTCCATACCAGGTAATCATTTAGAAGCCTGTACAATATAATAATTAAGGGGAAATGATTTTCGCATAAAATGACAGTCACACTATTTTTCATCACAAAGACGATTACGTTTTATTCTGAAAGCCGCAGGCTGGTATGTTATATGATTTTTTTTCGGTATGGGCTCTAAGAGCAGCGTAATACGGACGTTTTATTCTGAAAGCGGAAGTGAAATAGTTTGATAACCTCGTTCGACTTTGCTAGTTGTGCGCCACAGCCTGCCGCTGTCAGTGTCTGGGTGTTGGACGGAAAACACCAAATTATTCAGTAAACGGGGCGCCGAGTCCAGCCGCCCAGCATGGGCTGCTTCCCTCGTAGTTATTTCACTGTTTTCTTGTTATGTTATTACATCCAGTTCATTGGCCGAAAGTAAATTCTCCTTCGCCACTGGTCTAGCTGTGTGGATTTGTTTTGCCACAGACGACAATGGACCGAGTAAAAAGCTCCATGCAGCAAGTCCCCAACGCTATCCCCAAAGTGATCCGACGGACTGGGGGGGGCAACAGTCTGGAGCTGGAGAAGGAAAACTTTGAAAGAGGACAGGTATGTGTCGCAGAAGGAGTGTGGATTTTGAGTGATTAGTGTCTTAATAACGTGATTCCCATGAAAGCTTGGGAAAAAGGTCTAGGCTGTGTAATCTGTGGGAGGATGATTGTAATGTCATACTGTTTGCTTCCAGATTGTGAACTGTCTGCTGCTCTGCCAGCACTCACACTGGTCACACTCAAAGTAATCCTCTGACAAAAGAACACTATCCCTGCATGTATTATTACCGCTACAATATTTTTTTTTTCCCCAGCTTTGATGCTTTGTGCTAGTTATTGTTTGGTTCATATCTGTGAATTGTTATTTTAGTGTCACTACGACTGCATTAGACTACGAGTCAAATGCACAACAAAGAGCTGATAAGATGTATGTCAGCGGTCTGTTGAATTGAGATAACTCTGTTGTTGTTGTTTTATCAGGATAAACCCCTGGTTAATATGGTGGTCTGTCAGTGCCTGTGGTTTTTGTTAGGCTTTTGTAGGACCAGTGATGAAGAAGTGCCATTTTTGTGTTGTATGTTTAGTTAACGGGTGTTCTTACTGCAACATTTAAGGTCATAAAGCGTGGTTGAAATGAGCTTGCAGTAATGCTGTTTGTGGTCACCCTCATAGTTTTGTAGTTGTTGTTTTTTTCTTCTCGTCATAAAGCGTGGTTGAAATGAGCTTGTGGTCACCCGCATAGTTTTGTAGTTGTTTTTTTTTTTCTTCTAAAAAAAATATTTTTACACAAGCTGTAAACCATTTTTAATTAAGCACTAGGATGTGTGTTTGTTTCGGTTGCTCTGTAAGATACGATTAGCCAGCTGTGTGCAAGGGCAGTCATTTACCTGTTTTACCAAAAGAAGGTTTCATGTTGTACAGAACATATGACATTTTAGCCTTTTAAAAATGCAAGAACACACGTTTACTTCGGCGCCGTGTAATCAGGTTTTTTTTCCAGGTTAATACAACTGCAAAAATGTAAAGTCCAGTTCAATGGAGAGCAAGTTTAAGAAAACAAAATCAGATCTTTCTGTTAATTATTAGCTCTCATGGGGTTTAGGAATGTTATGTCTGTACATAGCCGACCTCTGCTGCTGCTTTTGCCATTTTTATTGAATACTGCACAACAACAACACATTGAACTTATCTTGTTTTTTTTTTTTGTTTTTTTTTTTTTTGCTTTATTCTTCAAACTGACCATATGGCCAACAAATGCAGTCACCATGAATGAAAACTTTTTAAGGACAACAGTCATTCCCTTCGTACTGAATGAGACAGTGAATACAGTGTTGTGTGTGTGTGTGTGTGTGTTTGATTGAATGGATACTAATGAATTATGAATACACTTGTTTAGGTGCAGCAACTTATACGCGGTCGCCCGGTCAACATATGTATGTTGGCTGCTGCTAGGCTATGCGGGCCTCTGCTTCCTGCCTGGTGGTCTCCCCTCACATCCTCTCTTTTCTCTCCCCAAACTGTGCACAGGGGAGGGAAGTGGAGAGAAAGTAGGTCAGATGAATAAAGGCAGTCAAACTGCCATGGCTGTGCTGCAACATGCTTCTCCCGCGTTCAGCGGCTGCTATATTGGACAGTGTAGTCAATACCATAACCCCATTCACCATCAACACTACAACCCCCCTCCCTGTTTGCCTTTTCCATCCGGGACATTGGCACCAAGGATTAGGAGGTGTGGAGAGACATGCACGCGTCTGTATATGTCACTAGGTCACTGAAATTGCTGGGAATTGTCAGGTTAAAATGCTCTCTCTACCAACACCGCAGCACATGACGTGTATGTAGATTGTAGATTCTTCCCGTGGCTAGTCTCGGCAGGCAAGGACAGGCATTTCAATGCAAAACAGCCCCTGTCAATAACATTGAGGAGTGTAAAAACAATTTAATCAAAGATTAATTTTATTTTCTTACATCTGAAGCCCAGCTGTTTTCTTAACCCTAACCCTAGTGGCAGAGTTCCATTTTGTAGCATAAAATCTGTTATTATTATTTCTGGGGACAACATACAAGATCCATTAGTCTTCACTAAAACAGAAAGTAATGCAAAAAAAAAAATCTGGAGATCCCGTATGACTGCCTTCATAAACAAGACAAACTAAAAGGAAATTCCAAAAAAAAAAGTTTTTTTTCTTCCTTTCATTGGGGTGCAATTGAGTTTATATACGCTATATAATAAATTTCTCAATAATGAAATCAGATAGACAGTACTGCAATTTGAATCTTGGGAAGTGCACCTGTAAAGCTTTCCAACAAGGTTTTCTGAGAACTCTCTTTACATCATTGAATATTGTTTGTAAAGGTTCAAAATATATGAAGCACATGCTTCTAAATTGTTTTAGCTTTTTGTTTGGACAGTGGGATCCTTTCGTTGCGGTTGACAGTACCTGATTCAGTGAATCAGCTGTTTAGCTAACCGGGATCATTAAGAGATGAACTCATCTGTGGTTCTGTGAAGCTGCTGAAATCAACTGGTCTGCTGACTTTTCATCGTCTCAACAGAAAATACCATCATAAAAACTCAAAATATAAAATTTACGTTGTATGAGTAGCCATTTATTTTAGGTAATGGCCTTAAAAAAGACCAATAGAACTTTCCAGTAGTCAGCCTGAGAAACTAAAATGTTTATCCTATTTCCAGTAAATCTTGTATGAATTCTGTGTTGTTTATATTTATTTTGATTCTGGAGTTAAAAATATATGTAGTTCTCGTAATTCTTTCTTGACAAGTCTTGTGGACCATCATGAAGAAATGGTTGCATGAAGAAAACCCTTTAAAAATGTTGGAGTTGCACCAACGGGAGTCGATGAAAAATGTGATTATAAAGTCAATAAACATTCTTCTGAGTATTTCATGTTCTCATTACTAGTTACAGATCTTTGTTAATGGGTCCATTTTGTAAATTATGATTCTACTGAAAGGAAAATAGACATTATAATAAGGCATGACAAGACGGTCTGTAGTCCTCTTAGTCTGAATCAAATGTTTCCTGAGTTTTAAATTCAGTTGAAGTTATTTGAAAAAAATAAGTTAAAAGAAAACCCACCGTATGCTATTCTACATACATTGTTTGTTATTGTCCACAGTGCAAACAGTAGTGGAAGCTACCGTGACTTTAAAGGTCTATTTGAGCTAAACACTCATTCTGAGAAGTGCTTGTCTATCTCTATGTAGAGTTGTGTAAACAACTAGGGTGTGTTCAAACTTTGCTTTGACAGAACGTCCACACGGGTTTATAAAAAGATTGAACCAGAGAAGCCGCACAGCACACACAGCTTGCTCCTAATGGCATGTTAAGCCTCGTAATGTATTGCAGACTCTTTAATTTAGAGTTCAGTGGGGTCCTCTAATGCATTTTATCCTCTCATACATACTCATGTATAGTAATATATGCTGGCCAGTGTACTTCAAAGTCTACTATGCAAGTGTGGTAAATTTCATTTTTCTTTGCTTTTCTTTCTATAGAGTACAATTAAGTATTAAATAGTTTTACTGATGCTTTAAATCAGGGGTGTCAAACAAATTCTGGTCCGAGGTCCACATACAACCTAATTAGATGTCAAGTGGGCCGGACCACTACAATCATAACATAATTACCTATAAATACCTATAAATACCTACCTTACCTATAATTTTTAAATGAAATATACTTTTTTAAAAAACAACCATGAATATGAAGTTTTTGTGTATTTTTTTAATTTTATTAATTTTAAAGTTTATTAAGTGTTTTGCTGATGCTTTAAATCAGGGGTGTCAAACAAATTCTGGTCCGAGGTCCACATACAACCTAATTAGATGTCAAGTGGGCCGGACCACTACAATCATAACATAATTACCTATAAATACCTATAAATACCTACCTTACCTATAATTTTTAAATGAAATATACTTTTTTAAAAACAACCATGAATATGAAGTGTTTGTGTATTTTTTTAACTTTATTAATTTTAAAGTTTATTAAGTGGCTCTGGCCCAGAGGCAATGTCTCTGTCATTGGTGTGGAACCCCAGGGTTCACCTCCTGGACAAGTTCGAATCCCGGTTAGGGCGGTTAATACCTTCCAGTGGACTCACCACCCGCAGGAAGGTTTGGGGGGTTGGTACGGTGCAATGTGATTTGGGTGGCGACTGCTGTCCCTGCGACCCGGTAACGGATAAGCGGATGAAAATGGATGGATGGATGGATGGATAAAGTTTATTAAGTGGGCCAGATTGAACCACCTAGTGGAGCGGTTTTGGCGGTTTTTGTGGGTTCTATGTTCCTGATGTTCACACCCCTGCTTTAAGGAATTGAATTATAACTGTTGTTGAATGTTAAGGAGAAAAGCTGCAGGGCTGGTGACAATACATGATATATATTACAACAAGCTCACCATAAAAATATAGCTAAAAAAAAAAACAAGTTGCATTAAGCACACACGGATTATTTAAAAATATATTGACTGAAAAAATTCCCATGAGCATCATCGCGGAGACAAAAACGTGAATTGTCTAATCCAGCCTTGCCACCTGTTTTGCTGTTCTGTGTTAAGCCCCGGCAGCTGTGGAATTCATTTTGGGTGCACAGCCATGGACCTTGACTCAGGACTTCAGAAGTCCAAAAGTCAACTCTTGTTTTCTTAGATCCTCCTTTACCGCTGAACTTCTGTCTCTTCTGTGTCTTTTTGGTTTTACTTCCTTATTCTCCCTTGTTATTGCCTGGAGTCTTCTTTGGAGTTACGGAGGGATTTCCGCACTATACTTAAAGCACACAGTAAGAGAGAGAGAGACGAGCGTGCAGGAATTAAAGTGCGGCCATTAAAAGCACTGAGGCAGCAGAAGCAGCAGGGAGAATTTGTGGCCTTGTTGTACTAACTGGCCATAGAATAATAAAGCTGGACATGAGTGACGGTTTGGTAAGTGGAACAAAGTGCACCAACGTGTTTCTGGCAGCCCCAACGGAGGCTTTGGTAATACATAATTTCAAACTTGTTTTCATTGTTTGATGGCACTTATGGACTATTT